TGGTAGCTGATTCCAGGAAAACAGGAAGAGTAAAAATCTATGATGTTCTCTTGAGCTCAGTACTATACACAGAACCATGCCAATGATTTTACTGATGAGTAGGTTCAGATGAGGGGACATCTGTCCCTTCTGATAATAAGCCATTTTGATTCTGCTCTATGTAGGCTGCTAAAGACACTGTGGACAATATTATATCAGACACCTCCAATGATGAATGAAAACACATTCATGTATATGAGATAGACAGCTGTTCATGTGTACAGAATGAATCTCAGAGCAGATTTCAACTCCTCAATCTCACTAAGAGGAAGTCATTTAAGCATAGAAATATTTTGTTGTTCCAAAACAAATATATATACATTTTTTTTTAGTTCCAGACCAAAGGGATATTACCTGGGAAGGACCAGGTTAGAATGTGAATCATATTTTCTTGAAAGAACACTGAATTAGAATCATAGAGTCTTGTCCCTTACTTACGTGGCTTTAGAATTGAATTTCTCTTCCTATGTTTATATCAATCAATAAACCTCATTAGAAAAACACACACACACAAATATTTGAAAACTAAATAACATGACACTAACAAACATTTAATCAAAGGAGAAATCAAACAAAAAATCAAAAACTATCTTGAACCAAATGAAAATGAAACCCACATTTTAAAAATGTATGGGATGCAGCAACAAAAAGTTCTAAGAAGGAAATGCATAGCTAGATAGGCCTACCTCAATAAATAAGAAAAATCTCAAATAAACAACTTAACTCTGCACCTAAAGGAACTAGAAAAAGAACAAACGAAACCTAAATTAAAGAGAAAAAAGGAAATAGTTAATATCAGATTGAAAAATTAATTTTAAGAAAGAAAAGATCAATTAAACTAAGAGCTAGTTATTTGAAAAGATAAATAAAATAGATAAACCTTTAGCCAAACTCAGCAAGAAAAAAAGAGGGAGCCCAAATAAATAAAATCATAAATGAAAGATGAGACGTTTCAATTGATACCACAGAAATATAAAGAATTATTATAACATCTGTAAATCAACCCATGACACATCACAATAACAAAATAAAGGATAAAAATTATATGATCGGAAGTTGCAGAAAAAGCGTTTGACAAAATTCAACATCATTCTATGATAAAAACTCAACAAAGTGGGTATAAAAGGGTCATACCTCAACACAATAAATGTCATCTATGACAAACTCATAGCTAATACCATACTCAATGGTGAAACATTGGAAGCCTTTCCTCTAAGATCAGGAGCAAGACAAAGATTCTCACTATCACCACTTCCATTCAACATAGTGCTAGAAGTCCTAACCACAGCATTCAGACAAAACAAAGAAATAAGATGTACCCCAACTAGAAAGAAAGAAGTAAAACTCTCATTATTTATAGATGATACTGTACATAAAAAATTCTAAAGACTCCTCCAAAAAACTATTAGGGATAATAGATGACTTTGGTAATGTTTCAGGATACAGAATCAATATACAGAAATCTATTGCATTTCTATGCACCAATAACAAGCAATTAGAAGAAGAAATTTAGAAAACAATTTTATATACAATTGTGTCAAAAAGTATAAAATACCTAGGAATAAATTTAACCAAAGATGTGAAAGACCTACACCCTGAAAACTATAATATGCTTAAAAATCTATATATATATATAAAAGCCAAGCGACCGGAACACTGGAACGACCAGAACGACCAGTCGCTATGACGTTCACTGTGGCCCCAATCAGCCCTCTCCCACCCTGATCAGGGGTGGGGCCAGCTGGCCAAATGCCCACGGCCCCTCCCCTCAGCTGGCCCCACTCCCTCCCCCCCACCCCCAGACCAGGGGCAGGGCCAGCCAGCCGACCTCCTGCAGCCCCTACCCTGGCCAGCTCTGCCCTGACCAGCCCCAATTGGGGCAGGCCAGCTGGACTCCACCCATGCACGAATTCATGTACCAGGCCTCTAGTATCTTATAATAAAACTATAAGATAATTGAAAAAGAAAACTGAACAAGATACAAATAAATGGAAGGACATACCTTGCTCATGGATTATAAGGATTAATATTGTTAAACTGCCCTTACTACCTAAAGCAATATACAGATTCAATGTGATCCCTATCAAAATACCAAAGGCAATCTTCTCAAACTTAGAGCAACCAATCTGAAAATTTACATGGACCCACAAAAGACCCTGAATAACCAAATAAATCTTGAGAAAATAACAAAGTTGGAGGTGTCAAGTTCCCTGACACCTGTTCTATAAGGTTAAAATAATAAAAACAGTATGGGCTGGCATAAAAACAGATATACAGATATATAGGAATAGACTAGAAATCCTAGCAATAAATGTGTACTAATATGGTCAATTTATAACAAAGAAGGCAAGTATCTACAAGGGTGTAGAGTCTCTTCAATAAGTGGCAAAATTGGACAGATACATGCAAACAAATTAAAGTGGGCACTTTCTTATACTATATACAAAAATAAACTCAAAATGAATGACTTAGATGTTATACCTGAAACCATAAAACTCCTGGAAGAAAGCATAGGTAGTAAACACTTTGACATTGCTGTTAGCAATATTTTTATTGATATACTAGGGGCCCAGTGCAAGAATCCATGCACCTTAAAAGGAACTGTGGGCTGCGAGGCTGCAGTAGGTACAGGGGTGGGTCTTGGCCCATCCTCGGTGCCCCCGCCTGGCCCATCCCGCCTCAGCCCCCAGTCCCCTGTCTGCCCGAAGCTCTGCTCTTGCCGCTGCTCCCATGCGCTAATGGTGCCCACCCTGCTCACACCTGCTGAAGGCATGATTGGGGCTGGTGCCAGCAGTGGGTGTGAGCAGGGCCAGCATCATTGCCCCTCAGGAGCCGGGAGAGGTGAAGAAGTCCTCAGGGGCAATCAGGGCCAGCAGCCACTGCTCGCACCCGCTGATGGCACGAAGCGATTAGGACTGTTGCCGGGCACTGGCAACGGGTGCGAGCAGTGGTTCTGGCGCAGGCAGTGGCAATGGGTGCGAGCAGGGGCTCTGGCACTGGCAGTGGGTGCGAGTGGCAGCTGCTGCCTGATTGCCCCTCAGGAGCAGGGGGAGGTAGAGAAGTCCTCAGGGGAGATCAGTGCTGGCAGCAGCCGCTTGCACCCGCTGATGGCACCAAGCGATCGGGACTGGTGCCGAGCACTGGCAGCGGGTGCAAGCAGTATCTCTGGCACTGGTTGAAGGTGCTAGCATGGCCGGCACTGGCAGTGGGTGCAAGCAGCAGCTCTGGCACTGGCAGCAGGTATGAACAGGGCTGTCGCCAGCAGCGGGTGTGAGAGGCGCTGCCAGCCCCGATCTCCCCTCAGGAGTAGGAGGAGGTGGAGAAGCCCTGAGGAGTGATAGGGGCCAGCAGCCGCCACTTGCACCCGCTGACAGTGCCGAGCAATCGGGGCCAGCGCTAGGCGCCAGCAGTGGGTGTGAGCAGTGGCTCCTGCACCAGCAGTGTGTGTGAGCAGTGGCTCCTGCGCCAGCAGTGTGTGTGAGCAGTGGCTCCTGCGCCAGCAGTGTGTGTGAGCAGTGGCTCCTGCGCCAGCAGTGGGTGCAAGCGGGGCCAGCACTGACAGCAGGTGTGAGTGCCGGGTGGACCACGGTGCATGGGAGCAAATAATTTTCAGTAACCACCAGAGGTTCACCCTGATGACAGTGACTGGCGCCCCACATTGGTCTGGCATCCCTACTTACCTGCTCCACTATCCTACCAGAGCCAACACCTGCCATGTTCTTCACACGCCCCCTGGTGATCACCGCACATCATAGCAACTGGTTGTTCGGTTGTTCCGCTGTTCGGTCTATTTGCATATTAGCCTTTTATTATATAGGATTTCCTCAAGCAAGAGAAACAAAAGAGACAATAAACAATTGGGACTATACCAAACTAAAAATATTTTTGCATAGAGAGGGAAACCATCAATAAAATGGAAAGACAATTTACTAAATGGGCCAATGATAAATCCAATAAAGGGTTAATATGCAAAATACATAAAGAACTAATACAACTTAACAAAAAATGAACAAACAATCCAATGAAAAAAGTGGACAGAGGACTTTTTGCATAAAAGAACATACAAATGGCCAATGTACATATAAAATGATGCTCAACCTCACTAATAATCAGGGAAATGCAAATAAAAACTACAATGAGATATCACTTCACACCTATCAGAATGGATATCATCAATAAGTCAACAAATAACAACTGCTATCCAGAATGTGAAGAAAAGAGAATCCTTTTACACTATTGGTGGGATTGTATGTTAGTGCAGCCACTATGGAAAATAGTATGGAGATTCTTCAAAAAATAAAACAGCTGCCATATTATCTAGCAATCCTGCTTCTGAGTATTTATCTGAAGAAAAAAAAACACATTAATTCAAAGGAATGCATGTACCCCCATGTTTATTGCAAGTAATAGCCATGAGATATGTAATCAATCTAGATATCCATCAATGGGTAAATGGATAAAGAAGATGTGAGATGTCTATTCAATGGAATATTATTCAGCAATAACACGAATGAAATATTGTCATTTACAGCTATATGGATGGATCTAGAGCAGTGGTTCTCAACCTTCCTAATGCCGCGACCCTTTAATACAGTTCCTCATGTTGTGGTGACCCCCAATTTCATTGTTACAAATTGAACATAATTAAAGCATAGTGATTAATCACAAAAACAATATGTAATTATTTATGTGTTTTCCGATGGTCTTAGGCGACCCCTGTGAAAGGGTTGTTTGACCCCCAAAGGGGTCGCAACCCACAGGTTGAGAACCGCTGATCTAGAGGGAATTATGCTAAGTGAAATAAGTCAGATGGAGAAAAACAAATACCATATGACAACCTCACTTGTCTTGGAGTCTAAAAAAATAAAATAAATAAACAAACAAAAAATAAAAACTCTCATCAGTCTCTGCTACAGCTAAAATGGATCAGGATGATCTAAACATATCCTATCCCACCTGTCTGTGACTTCATTGATGGTGGCTGGTAGTCTCTTCATCTAAAGTGCCCTTTTGTATACAATTCCGAATACTGAAATATTTTCATACATTTAAATACAACTCAAATACTGTCTTTACCATAACCTCTCTTTATTACCCTAAAATAAAAATAAAAATTAAAATTAGTCTTTGGTCTCTCTGGATTCTCATAACACAGGCATTATATATATATATATTTCATAAACACAAATTCTTATCTGAATTTGCAAGACTGTGGACATTAGGGACCACTCACTCTTTTAACTTCATACTTTGTAGGCAAGTCCATTCCCTGGTGTCCCTGACCAATGACGATGTCTCTGCTTTAATTATTCCTATCACACTGGTGCTACCACCTCTCCAGGCACCATATTCTTACGGAGTGGATTTGGCTCTTTTGACAACAACTTGGACCCAGCTGAATGTGCTTTTTCCAGTACCTGAGTTTCAGCAGGGCTTTTATTTGGGTTGATTTGTTGAGAAAAAAAATCCTAGTCTAACAATAGAACAGTGATGGCCTAGAAAAAGATTTTTCATTGACAATTGAAGGAGAAAATGTGCAATAATTACCAGGAGCTCCAGGGAAAAATTAGATGGTTGAAATGGTGTTTCCTGTGATTACGGGGTATTTTTAAAATCATCTTTTCTTTTTTAAGATTTGGAACAGCTTAACTGCAATAAACAGGTTTTCTGGAGCAGTTTCTTGGGAAATTATTATTGAGGCTTAAATCCCAAATGCTAGTTTTTAAATGGATGGCCCTGCTCTGTGTTCCCATTGAGCGGGGACACACTTTCTCCTAACACTACCATACTTCGTTGTAATTACTTGCCCAACGTATATCTTCATTGCCAGACTGTGAACCTGGAGAGGTCTAGCAATCAAGGCTGTCTTGCCCATCACTCTGTTCCCAGGGCCAGCAATTATATGCAAAATAGGTAAATGGCTGTGTGTGCTAACACTAGGAAGTGGGTTACTTGATGCTTTGGGCATTGTTTGTGTTCATTTAAAAATGGCTGCTCACCAAGATACATGATCCTGGAGTAAAAATTTATCAGAGTTTGTTTCCCTCCTTTTGTACAAAATAGACATTTAAAATGGTACAATTTAAAAGCATGTTTCATGGCTTCCATGGATGTGTTAGAGTAGAAAGTTTATCTACAATGATATTCAGAATTAAAATTATAGAGAATGGAGGCTTGGAAATAGAATGCAGTGCACAATGTGGACGGGGGAATTATATAAACACTTAACTGGGCATTAGTTAATTACTTTCTTATTAAGAAAGAATTTAAAAATTAAAGCACTGTACATCGTTCACATAGCATCAACTGTGCACTCTCTCCCAGGTCCACCTTCCTGCTTTCTCTAAAAGAGCTGATGAAACACTAAATTTTGTGTTTATTGTTCCCTTGCCTTTTAGTTTCCTTGCCTCTTTCACCTGGTGAAATGTTCTGCCTGTTTTGAATATATGAAAACAGTGTCCCGAAGGACTTTTTTTTTCTAATTCAACTTTGTTTTTAGGGTTTATCCATGTAGATGGTTATTTCCTTTTCACTACTATATAACATTCCATTGGGTGAACAGAGCAGAGCTTACATACCTCTTCATGAACAACTGAGTCGCTTCTGGTTTCCTGCTATTTGGAGAGTATTTTTATTGGCATTCTCAACATGCCTCCTGGTCTGTGACCTCTTGGTTATAGATCTCAGAAAGGAATTACCAGATTCAATGCATGCAAATGTGCAGTGTTATAGGGTAATGACATTTTCCCCAAAGTGATTGGCCAGTTTATGGCCCTGTCAGGCAAGCTTTTGGAAGGTTTCATGCTCTTTTGTCCTCTCTGTATGAATCACCATTCCTCAAACATACAAATGGTTCAGGCTTTCATCTCCATATATGTTTTGGCTCAAATCCCTACTTTTAGCAAGGCTTCTCTGACAAGTTGACACATAATTCTAATTAATTGTTTAATATGTTAATAAATAAATGGATGGATGAATGGTGCACAGATGCCACCCGCAATGAAAGTACATTGCCCATTGTGGAGTACTGTTTTGATGTTGAAAATGTATAGAAGGCAGGTGAGATGGCTGAGTTTAGGATGGGCTAAAAAGGGGGATGAGGACATTCTAGGCATGAAGATAAATGATGTGGGGAGTAGGGATGATAAATAGCTCAAAGATGTAAGAACTTTTTAAAAATAGACTTTAAGAAGAAAAAAGTATTCATGCAAACAAAAACTTTTCCCTTTACACAAACTGCTTTAATTTTGGAACAACCAAAGTACGCTTTTCCTTTTTGCCTTTTCATGCACCGCATCCTAAAGCCAATTTTCATGATATTAAAAGAACAGAATTACTGAGAGCAAGGCAGCTTCTTTCGGGTAACATTGAAAAGCCCGAGGGAAATCTGAATAAATAAGAAAAGAGAGATAAGGAAGGCTATTTTTTCCCTTCCCATTGTTGAATGACAATTGCCTCTGTATGTGCAAGTGAGCTAGGAAAAAGAAAGACACTGTTGTGACAGTGTATTTCAGGAAATTGTTTAACAGTTTTAATATAATAAATTTCAGAGCGAATTAAAGGAAAACAGTTTAGTTGCATGGTAATGGTGTGAATAAGGACATTCTCAATTTGTGCCATTTCAAGGTGCTTAACTCAAGGTGGGAGCTGTGGCATACCCAGTTCCCAGTGTGCAGTTGGCCAGATCACTGAAAAGCTATAAATGCGCCAAAGAGCATGATTTTGTAAGGAAAATATAGATTCTCCTCATTCCAGGTGTTTGGATTTTGAAGACTTTCCTTTGATAGTTAGCATATTTGCTCAACCCACCAGGGAAGGTGAGATCCAACCTGGTGTGTGGTCAGGTTGATTCCTTGCTCCCCATGTCTCGTTGCTAACTTTGCTTCCACAACCATCTCTCTTTTCTGTCTCATGACCAAAATGCTCTTCAGGGGGAATTTTTTAAATTTCCTGGCTTCACAAAAATCTTGGAATTCAATCCTGTTTCTGTCTTCTGCCCTTTCCCTCTGACTTTGGATTTAAAATATCTTTTTGGATTTCTTTAATATTTATGGTTTCAGAGGAAAGATGTGTGAGGTTAAAGGCTATAGGTTGGAAAAGAAAGTGTCTAAGATTTCAAAGATGGTCTATCCTTAATTCACAAAGGATAAGTTGCTGCTTTACGTTCTGTGTCTGATCTCTCAGTCATAACTGAACTTGTTTTTCTAGGAAAATTAGAACACTCAGCCTGCATAGCTTACTTTACCTAATGTTACTTCCTCTTGAATCTATAAAATCTTGAGGCCTTAAGGCACCACTTGAACTCTACTAGTATTCAGGCAAATCCTTAGTTCACTTTGCTTTAGTTTTCACAACTTGGCCAATTTTTAGCACATATTATTCTTGGAGGAAGGAACTTATCTACTTTACCTTAGATTTAGATTTATTCTTTTCCTTCAGAACCTCTAATATTGTTGCTGACATCAGGTCAAATGTTCTTTTTAAAATCTGTGGATATGATAAATATTTGAAGCAAATGTAATAAACAGTTATATACTTAATGTGTAAAAATGTCACTCAAATTGTTGAGACCATCACTAAAACCAAAAGGAGAAAATATAATATACAAATGTTTAAAATACAAAAGAGATAATGTAAATATCTGAAATATTTATTACTCTCTAGTAATCACAGAAATGCAAGTGAAAATATAAGATTAAACTTTTGCTTATAAATGAACAAAAATAAAATAAATGTTATTAATGTTGGAGGGTGCTATGAAATGGTTACTCTTCTAGACTAGATGAATATAAATTACACAAACATGTTAGGAAGCTTTTAGTAGTAAGTATTGTTAGCATTGAAACCATTTATACTTTTTAAGTTATTTTTCCCCTCCTAAGAGTTCATACTAAGAAAATAATCAGAGTTGTTGAACTAGATTATGTATAAGCATGTTTATTTATAAAATAGAATACTACTCAACAATTGAATATTATGTTTATAAAGATTTTTAATGACGTGAGAAAGTACTGGTAATATTAAGTGAAAAACAGGATAGAATAAAATATACAGTAAAATCTCAAACATATCTGTTCTGTGTCTCTTTGACTTCCATTTATCTTGCATTTCCTCTATGGAACTCATTTATTATATCTGTATCTGCTTAAATCTAGAGAGTTAATTTGTCCCTCTATTAAAAAAACAATACGAGTTTCATTTAATCCCTCTTCCTAATTTCTCAAGTATGAACATAAGATCTGTGGTACATGTTTTTAATAGTAGGCTTTCATATCAGTCAACAAATATTTACTGATCACAAGCAACGTGTGTCAAATTCAAATATCATTTAGGTGCCAGTGATTCAGCAGGGAAGAAAAGACAGAGAAGAAGAGGGAGAGGGGTGGGAAGACCTGATGAACTTATGATTTAAAGAACTTATGCGGGTACCTGTGCTATGTGTGTGATGAGCAAGGGGAGGCAATACAAATAAGAGAATGTTGAGAACTAATAAGTTATATGGAGATGACAGAACATGATAATAATAATGAGAGGCCTCTGAGCAGGTGACATTAAATTTGAAATCTGAATAATGAGCAAAAGAAAGAAAATGCAAAATTCTTGGAATGGCATATTAGAGAGACAGAAAAAAGATTAGTACATTTAATTAACTAGTGAAAGGGTTAGTGGAGAAAGGATTGGAGAACTGGACAAGAGTAAGTTCATGTGCTATAATAAAAAGTTGTGGGATTTTTGTTTTGTTTTGTGTTTTTGTTTGTTTCTTTCTTTCTTTTCTATTGATTGGTTGATTGATTGACATGCTGATTGATTTGTTGAGGTACATAGAATATGAGGATGATGCCATTCATCCTAGGTGCCAGAGCGCTCATCAACTGAAGGCAAACCTGTTTGATTTGAGGACATACTACTTTCAATACATAAACGTTTAAATCAGAGTAACTGTCATCAGGATGCTCTTTTTCTACAATACTACTTGGCATAATGTGAGGGAGTTAATGGAGCCTGGCCAGGGCATCAGGAAGGTGAAGGCAAAGTATCATTAAAGAAGCAAGTGACAGAGTAGGGTTATTGCACTGGGATCTGGAAGCACCAACACTGACAAGATTAAAATTTAAAAAAGAAGCAGGAACAGGAAAAGCAGAGTGAACTTCCTAATAATAATAGTGGCTAGTATATATTGGGAAGTTACTGTAGACAAGCATTTTACCTGTATTAATTCATTTACTCTTCACACAAGCTTCTAAAGTAGATATTTAACAACATTTTACCAGATTTGAAAACTCGAGTACCGAATGGCGAATATTGGTAAAAAACAGCCAGCTAGAGGTACCAAAGTCAGGAAGTAAGCACAGAGCCTGGCTCCAGAGCTCAGAGCCTGCCCCATCCCTCTGGGATACAACTCAAGATGTGCCCACGGGCATATTGCCCAACCCAGGGCCTGGGGAGTCACCTCAAGTTCCAAGCTTTTCCTCATGAGTTAGTCGCCAATTGGTGCAATTGCTCTGACTTTAAGCCAGCTCTTACTCTGTTTACATTTTCCATTCACACTGCTCCGACCCTGCTCCAAGCCCTCTTTTACCAGGATTACAGAAAGTACTTCCTAAAAGATCTCCCTGTATTTTGCCTTGGCCTCTCCAAACTAAGCTTCTTAGTGGAGCTATAGAGATCATTCAAAAGAACAAACTTATTATATAACTTTGCTGCTTAAAACTTTGCTATTGCTTTCCCTTGCCCTTGGGATCAAAACCACTGCATAATATAGTTTGAGAGGCTCACAGGATACCACCCCTGCTTGCTCCTCCAGCCTGCTCTCCTCTCTAATACATTACCTATACTAGGCTTGTTTCAGTTCTTCAAAACACATGTGTTCTCTCACAACCTTGATTTTTTCACAAATGCTCCTCTGCCTATAGTAGCTACCTGCCCTTCTCTCCTCCCCTCATCTGTTAACATGTTTTTAGTGTTCTGCAACTGAAGATCTGGCTAACAGTGGCTACAAGGATGAGATATGTGTAATGTCCTAATAAGAATTCCTAAACTAGATGTTTCCAGGGTTCAAAGAAATAGCCTCTTTCTACGTTTTTAATCTGACACTTTTAAATGTTGGCTTTTACATTAAGCTTATCACATCAGGGTCCAAGATGGTGGATCAGATTATGATGAATACTGTGATAAACCACCCAAATCCCCTTTGATGAAATAACCTGATGACCCAGCTTTTGGGAGTGCTGTTAGCAGATAACCTTTAGCTGTCAGCTCCTTCAGGGATTACTTCAGCGGCAGAGAGCTACACTGCACTAGTTACAGACCTTCTTGAGATGGCTTACATACAACATGCGCATAAAGGCCTGGCCGTCTTGTGCAATGGGGAACAATTTTGAAGAGCCTTTCTAGTTTCAGAGCCTTTCTGGTTGGCTAAACATTATAGTCAACTTCTTTCTCTTATCAAGTCCAGCTTCTGCCTCCTTTCTTTTACAGGTGTGATCCCAAGGGCATTCCCAAGCATCCTACATGCTAAACTCTGTCTGAGAATATACTTCTTGATGGCAATAGTTGGCACCCAGGCAGTCAGGGACAGCAATCAATAAGATGGCATTTTTGAGCTGGGTCACTTGCTGTCAGGCTAGCAAAGAAGATATCATTAGTGGTGGTCAGCGAATCAGTCTCTACAAAACTGGTGATCCAAATGCTAGACTTTTCATCAGTGATGAATTGGGGTTGGTATGTTAATGGAAAAGAATGCACCAACTTGTAAAATTTATCAGGGGTTTGAGAAATATGAAGTAGTAGCTATAAGTAAAATAGAACTCGGTAGCTAAACTGAGCTCTGGAAAAAAGATAATAAAAAGTTGAAGACAATTAATAGCTAAGTGAAAACTAGGGGTGAAAGCCAGAAGGCTTTGTTGGTAACATACAAAAAGTATATCATCTCATCTCCTCCAAAGGCAGGGCAAAGAAAACTGTGACTGGGCTCAGCACTTCAGAATAACAAGTCTCAAAAAACCTTAAACTTACAACCAAAGCAGATCTCCTTAAGGCTTCTCAAATTGATAGGTCTCAAATTCTAAACTTTGTATCTCCTTCATTGGGCAGCAGCAGAAATCTTTTCGTCAGATTTTTCTGAGCTGAAAATCTGTTGCTTTCTACTGGGAATTTTGTAGTCTTCTCAGAACATGTGCAGTTTAAGGGGTCACCCTAGTTTTTTAAGAGAATTTATAAACAGAATTGGGGCAACCTCTCTGGAACTCACTGGATTACCTGAGGTATTCCCCCCCATTTGATTTCATGCTACCTCTAGCCAATAAGACTGAGATGTTCTGCTTGATTTCTAACTGTCCAGCATCATGTGCTCTCAGGAGAAAATCTGTAAAATCACGGATCTCACCCAGTGAGATTTCCTTCTTTTAAGAATGAATCTTAAGTTTCATCCTGCCGTTGGCTTCTCCTTAGTGACTTTAAATAGCTGCTTTTTTCATATTTTGTCCAGAGCTTACAACTGTTTCCCACAGAAGGGTCTTTTTTCATACAAGCTAGTCCAGACTTACTAATATAAAAACTCATAATGTTTGTTTGTTTTTAATAAGAAAGAAAGAAAGGATGGCTGTTACACTGTCCACCCACCATCAAATAACACCATTTGCTTTTTCAACTCCTTCTAAATATTTAGATTTTAGTTTAAGCATCTCCATCTACAAATGATCCATCTTCCTTAGCCTTCCAGAGGAGGTTAGGTACACCATCTCCAGTACATGTTACCACAGTGTCGCATATTCCCACTGTCATAACACTCATCACAGTTCATTGATATGACATGTTTAATGTGTGCTTCTCTATATAGACTATCAATTATCTGAGAACAGACATATATCTCATATCAATTACCATATTCCAGGGCCTCTCACATGGTAGATAAGTCAGAAATATAAATGAATAAAAGAGTGAGTAAATTCAGATAGGTAGGAAAAGTCACACAGGATTGCAATCTGAATAAAAGAAAAGTCTCTGAAAGCAACAAATTCTATTTGATGTTGCCTCCATCAACTGAATACAGCTCAAGTGGTCAATTCTTGAGTCTCTGTCCTCTCCTCTTACCTATGAGATCTTCACAAGATCCCACAACAAAGCCCATCTCAGTTGAGACCAGGATTAAGAAAATGTGGGCAAGGTGTCCCTGAGAATGGTTCTGTGGTTGTTCTGGGGGTATTTGGACCTTCTATTTATGCAAGAGAGAAGCCAGATATCACTCCAGAGAGAGTCCAAAGGCCTTCAATACCAGGTGGCTATGATCAATTATCCTCTATCCTGGCTGACAAGTTAACCCAATCAGCCGGCCATAACCTAAAGGCTTTGAAAGATATTAGACATTTTATGCTTCCAGTACTTCCAGCACACGCATTTTGTGTTCCACGTTTTGTTCATAGAGTTGGGGGTTGGTAAATACACATATTTTTGCATTACATCTTAAAACATTGAAAAATGAGTATTGA